TAAGTAGTTTGATTCTAGCCTGGCCAGCTTAGGCACTTCTTTTGGTATCTTCTCTCTCCTGGAAGTATGTGGCAACGGGGGTTGTAAATCTAGATCAGTGTTTAGGTTGCCAGTGTTGAGAAATGCTGATCTAGAGGACAAGAGACTTCTAACTAGTTCTGTTAAAACTTAATTCTCTCAGAACTGGCTTTCATCCTGGCCCAGTTGTCTAGTCTTCTATCTCACCACACAAAAGATACTTGGGTGACTGTTGGAAAGAAAGATTCCTTCAGTGTATTTCATCTGCTGGCTCTGAAATGTCTACATGTGCCTCTGAGTCAGAGCCTGAAGTAAGCATTCAGCTGTGCTATAACTTTGTTATGACTGCAAGCTCAATGACATGAGTGCTTTTTCCAGAGATAACAATATACTTAATTACTTGGCTATCACTTGCAAAGTCTGAGTAGGGCATATATGATCTAAAACCTTATTAATAGGGTTCTCAGGTAGAAGAAGTCCAACTGCCACCTGGTTGACTGATTCCCGTTCAGATTAGGATCATATCTATATACCTTTTCTTGCTTTTTCCCCTGATAGTTTTCATCTCTAGAGTTTCAAATCATTCTCACCCAGCCTTTACTGAGCAATGTTCTGACATTAGGATAATCATGCAAAGCAAGCCTGATCTATGTTGAGTCTTATTTACACAAGAGCTTGCCCTATTTGTGGAGTATCTAATTACTAAAAGCAAGAAACATTTTGAATATGTAGAACTAAAGAAATCTCTTCTTTCCAGCCTTAATATATGACAGGGTTGACCTTGCTAATATTTCTTAGATCCAATGTACAGCAATTCATTTTTCTTAGCAGCTTTGCCCTATTAATTACTCCTGGTTACAGTGTGATCAATCAGAACTACAGTTTCCTTCCTTTTCTGTTTTCAACTGATAGGGGGAAATGTTTATCTGTCACTAACCACATGACCTTTAACTTTCATTGTTCTGAATTATAGCCTCTTTTTATTCCAGTATCCATAAGGCTATCCTGTTTACACTGCAGAAGCTCCTAGTGTTTTTAGCAGACTTTCCCACTCTGAGATCGTCAAACATTAACCATTCTGAGATCTGGTTTATGCAAGGAGCTTCTAAAGGCTTTGGGCACCCAAACTGCATCATTTTATCATCACATAGGGAGGTGATTGCAACATTATATTCAGTGATCAGTGAGAAACACGCATTTTAGTTTGTGGTTTAGAGAATCTTGGATGAAATGGAGTAGAAGTTAAGTGAAACTCGTAAAGAAAATTTACTGTGTAGTGAGAAAGACTAGAGCAATTAAGTTCCGGTCAATAGTTAAGTGAAAGGTTCCCACCAAAAGCTTCCCTGTTTCTCTGCAGACAGCATCATGTACCAGGTGGTGAATATATGCTACATTGAGGGTAAAGACAGGACAGGCTATTCATTTGCCTTCCCCATTTGAACAAAAGTGAACTCTCATAGCCCCAGGGGAAGCAAGCAAAATCAATTGCCAAACAAACTACTATTAAGTGCACTTGCTGGAAATGTTTGTTCATTATTACCAAAAAATACTGAGTTTGCTGAAACTCCAGTGCAGTGTTTGACAACTTGTGTTACATTATAAAATGTGATGTGTCTATGATTTGGGGCACCTGCCATATGTAGCAGTTATATTATATTATAACCCGTTATATTCCTTCATTACTGCTACCTCTTTATCAACATATGGCAAACCTATTTGAGGGGGAAAAAGCAGCTCTTCTGGTTCCCAGTCAGCACAAAAATAACATTTGTAGAAAGGCAAACAAATGTTTGTTCCAGATCAGGCTGGAAACGCAAGATGAAGAAATCAAAATCTTCTATTATTCATGTTTACTTCTTTAAAAAGAAATAAACCATGCCAAAGATACTTTAAAAAGAAATGTATTTCAATCAATCTATTCAATTTTCTCAGAGATACTACAATATTGTAATTACAATTATTATTGTTATAATTACAATATATTATTACACAATAGATTGTAATTATTATTATAAACATGTGCAAAATGCTTTGATATTTACTTTTTATCTCATTTTATTTTTTCAACAAACTCTGTGAATTTGGTTAGCTAGAGAGGTAGCTACAACTTCCAAGAAATAGCTTTGCTAATCTGTAGTAATTAAGACAACAGAGTCTTGTAGCACCCTTGGGTGAATCTTCTGAAGAAAGCTATTCTAGCTATCAATTTCCAAAAGAACTATCTTTTAATAATGGTTCTAGAATGCCCAAACAGAGCAGATATCATTTGAGAAAACAGCACTATCTTTGTTTCCAAAGAGATAGATCCCTCTTACTGTTTCTGCAACAGGTTAAGAATTTAGGGGTAATATCCAAAAGACTAATTACTAGTTAATAATGATTTATGGCATAACTCCCACTGAATCAAGTAGGACTTATTTATGTGTTAATATGTACAGAATTGCATTGCAAGGCTACCTTTCTATGAAGTTGGGAAAAAATCCTACTAAGAGAAATGTAGTCAGGATTGAGCTATATAGGTACAATCTTATATTCAAGCTGTTTAATTCACATTGATTTCAGTAGCATAATGTGCAGAGAACTGCAGCCCACAGGGACATCCAGTTATCATTCTGGTTGGACACATTTAATTTTAGTTATGTCCTTACTTATCTCGAGTACAATTTCATAGTATCTCTTCTTCAATAACTACATCACTCTGGTCTTTCCTACAAAATAATTCTTACAAACAGCAAGTGGGAAAGGATGTGGAGGTGGGAGGATTGAGACGGGATAATGAAGCAGCTAGAGGGAAGAAAACATAATATATTTAAAAAACAGTAGGATATCTGTGTTGAAAGGGAACATAGAACTGTAGTTTGTGTGTGTGTGTGTGTGTTTTTAAAAAAGACCCTAGCAGTGAAAAAAAATGGGTGCAAACCTCTAATTAAACTCTTTAATATGATTCAACCTTTCATATTAAAAACTATACATATATATGGAACCCTAAACAGTGACAGAATACACAAAGTGATGTTAACTAAGCATCAACCTCTCAGTGTCTGAATCAGCATTATTGATAACTACTATGTACTTAATGTTCTGCAAAAGGGCTTGAACAATTTGCCACACATTATGCCACTACTCTTTTTAAGAATCCTGTCAAGTGGACAGCACGGCTACCCCAGTCTCTCACTTGGGAGAGAAGGAGAAGGAGGCTAGATGATAAAAAAAATCACCTGGTGTGTATTTTCACAATAAGCTGAAATTTAAAGTAAATACAAGATATCTAAAGAAAGATGAAATCTAAATCAAAGATCCTGAGGTTATAGGGGAATAAAGAGGACTTTTTCCAAAATTCAGAATGGGTTTGAACTAAATGATTAAGGAAATACTGGAGTGGAGCTGTTTTTAGTGTTCAATGTGTTTCTTACTTTTCTGCCTGTTCTAATATATAATATCTCACGCAGCTTTGCGATGAAAATGTATAGTTTAGGCTTGGACTTCTTAACACATTTGGATGGTTTTTGTTTTCAAAAACCTCTGGAAGTACCTTTAGCAAATTTAATGCAACTCTAAAAGACAGGAACAAGATATAGTTATGCATTTATTTGCTCTAACAAGAAGTCAGAGTCCTGTTCTCCTGACATCCTGGCCTGAGTTACAATTCATTCATCCTCAGCAGAGCCAAAATCCAGTCCAGTTTTTAGGTGAGATTCCTCAGCCAAGAAATTTTATGCTTATCATGAAATCTGGGAGATTATGCTTTCTCTTAATTTACTAAAAGCATAAAACAAAAAGAAACCCTGAACTGGAGCACATGCACTGGAGCTGACTTTTAAGTGGAGCCTGCTGGATTTTCTAGTGGACTTTGCTCACGCAGTGCAGAAGACAAGAATTAAAACCAGGCCTGGAGAAGGAGAGTTTAGTAGATCACTCTGGTCCTGAACAAAAATGCAAAATGGTTCAGGTTTCAGAACAGACAAGAGCAACCTTCCTCATTGTAAAAAAATGGGAACAAAACAGCTACTTTTGCAGGTGCAAGGATGCTAACTTCGTCAGCTATTGAGGCACCTGCTCTGAACTGGATGGACCTCTGTTTTGTTTCACTCCCACCCCCTTTAGTAAGTTTTCAAGTTTTAATGCCATAGGGGAAACAAAATAGGCTTTGAACTGTGCTAACTACTAGTTGGTCAGATCCCTCTCTGAGCCGCATTTTCTGTCTTGACCCTCTGTACTTGAGGCCTTTTTGAGGCAGGTTTGTCTACAGGAGACCCTTTTTCAGGCAGGTCTAATATACTGGTTTATAGAACCCCAACTCCATCCCCTTCCAATGTGAAGCTAACGGTACCCACGGAAAGTCTTGGACTTCTTTTATTGTAGCTGTTGGCAGATGGGGGCGGGGGATTTAAACGCTCACGTGTACGCCGCCAGGTTACCAGAGAGTAAAGCCGCCACCTCTTTCGAGGACGTACGAGCAATCAAAAGGAGCATCAAACTCTCGCGCTGCTCCAGGCCGTGTCTTTCTCTGGCTCTGCCTTGCAATTTCCTCTCCCACCACCAGCGAGCAGCAACCGGACGCGTGCGAGAAGAGGCTCGCGGTGCGCGCGCGCGCGCTCATACACACACCCTCACACACAGATCGAGGGGAGGGGAGGGGAGGGGAGGGGAAGGGCTCCAGAGGCTTGGTGTGTT